TGTTTTAAGCATATTGAGCAACTCAGGGAGTGTGCATTCGATCTTATTCATATTGAAGTTCATAATGAACCGTGAATAACTATCTGGCAGAGATTACAAAACCAAGTCAATACTTAGTTTATGATCCATGAAAAAACCCAATGAACCCAGTTTTTCAATGAAACCAATCATCTTCAGCACATGAGCACTGACTGAAGATCCCTCTGCCATTTTGCACCAGTATAGTTGTTTAGAGGTCTCATACCTCTCCACACGAGATTGTTCATCATACAACTTCTTGAGATGAAAAATCATAGTGTAAGCATCCATACCCTCATATTGCTTCTGCAACTCAAGTAACATAGCTGCAAGCATCACACATGCTGCAGTGTTATCGTCATCACTGTGTTTGTTGTAAGCAGCCACCTCTTCTTGAGTGGAATTTTCAGTAGGCACCACTAGAAAGGACTGCTCAAGGACATACCAAATTTTCTCATGCTTGAAAACGATTCTCAAATTGCGGTGCCAATCGAGAAAATTTGGTCCGTTCAGTTTGTTGGCATCTAGTATGCCTCTCAAATTCATATAATTGCTCATGATTCAAAAACTGTAAATGACGAAAAAATATAGAATTAATATGTTTATAATGCATATGCACAAATTCAATATGGATTTTAATTAAATGTGATCCCACTGTTTAAAATAAATTCATGACCCTCATACATAAATTATTTGAAATCACATTTGATTCCCAGTGGGCTGGGATCTCATTCGTTGTATCAAGATCTTAAATGTACTCAACAAATCTTAATAAAACATTTGGGTAGATATTATTATCAATTGTTTCTCCATATAACTCCTAGATCATTAAGCTGACAACTCTTTTGTCTTCACACATCTTATGTGTTAGCTTAACGTGCCTCTAAAACTTATCTCCGTAAGTGTACTTAACAAAAAACAAATTTTAGTTAAGTCAAACTCATCATTCAGAAATATCAAATATTTCATAGTGTCAAACATATCCCTAATAGACCAGCTTTGAGTGTACTCAATAAGTTAAAGTCGATTTAGGATTCTCGCACTATAATGATGGAAGACAAATAATACTAACTTAATATTTTAACGAGAAATTTAATGTGCAATGGTCTCATCAATTAATTATATATATATAAACATACATCGACTATGCGAATAAATATATATAAATAATAGTATGGATGATTATGGACTTGTTCTATCTAGTTTTCCTGAGCCAAAGGGAAGACTATTTAGTCAATTCCTAAGTGGTACAACATTGGATCAACACCAACGCATCATCTCCACGATGTCCACCTCTTCTTACGCCTTCAATTAGTCAAACTGCAACATGTATCCTATACTAGTTGGCACGTAGGCCTAAAAGAAAACGGATTCGCAGGCCCATAATAATAA